TCGTACCTCTGACCATTCTTTTACTTTCAACCCTGCTAGCCGTGGCCCTGGGAAGGAGGCTCTGATCCTGTTTCCTCAGCGATAACAGGCGGGTAAAGCGCCCACCTCAGAAGACGTTGTATCGGTCCTGGCATGGAGTAAGTGCTCATTCAGTGGAGTCTCTTATTATTGCTGCTGTGGCTATTCATATTCATAGAGAAGTGCAGGCCTCCACTGACACGGTGAGAGAAGAGTTTCTGTCGCCGGACCTTAGAGCTTCTGAAAGACCACGAGAAGACAGGCTGGGGCATATAGTCAACTTCTGTCAACAACGGGGTGGGAGCAGAGGAGTAGCAGGGTGGAGCCCCTGCCCATCACAGTGTCCAGTCATTCTGTGCCATGGCTGCCCCCACCTTCTCTGCCTCTGCCCTCTTACTGTGAGCACCTTAAGGTCTTGGCCATTATTCCATCTTTTGCATATTGCACCGGGCCAGGCACGGAGCAGGTGTTCCAGGAGTGTGTGCTGAGTGAATAATTGACCCAGCAACTGAGAGACAACGTAGCCTTCTATTTCACCCTGTGAACATGAAGAAAGAATTCCAGGCTTGCAGTCATGCCTCTTTCTCCGGTCTCATACTTCTGTGAAAAGGCAGTGGCTGTTGTGAAGTGGCGCACACCTGTGTAACATTTTACCTTATTTGCATAATGGGTTGAATTAGAGGTTACATGCCCACAGACGCACCCAGGGGAAGTAGGCTTGGCAGGCTGCTGCAGGGCTGGCACTCAGGAAGGTGTGTTGGAAATCTTTGATGAATGATCCAATTTGTTTTAGGGTCCGACAAGATTAGGACTGTGCGCCCTTGCTCTATAAGGTCATATTTAGTCCTAAGATTGCAATGAAAGAAATTTTGAACACCGTGAGGCCCCCAGGTGACTGAACTCACCAACAGAAAGTGTTTGATGATAATGGATATCACTTACATAGCTGGAGTTGTTACCCATCCAGATGCTCCCTGGGAGGATTCCTGGAATATGGGTCTTCCAGGTTTAAGTGAGGGTGGTCCCAGAAGAAATGGAACCACCTGGTCACTCTACCATAGACTCTCATTTCTCTACCAACAACAATGGCAGATTTTCCCTGAGCATCCTGCTTGAGGGAAGGAGTTCTTCAGCCTCATTGTCTCGGGGCCTCAGAACTGGGGTAGTGCTACTGATCTGAGTGGACCACTGAGGGATCTGCCCAAGGCCAGCAGTTGCTTTGTGGGGGTTCATGCAGGATGGGGTTGGAGATGGTTATGGCCATTTTTTTTAGAATTGTCATCTTGCTTTGTACCCCAACCTGCACCCAGGCTGGAGGATAGTGGCAAGATCTTAGCTCACTGCGGCCTCAACCTCCTGGGCTAAAGAGATCTTCATGCCTCAGCCTCCCGAGTAGCTGGGACTACAGGTGTACACATCATGCCTGGCTAATTTTTAAATTTCTTTGTAGAGACAGGGTCTTGCTATGTTGCTCAGGCTGGTCTTGAACTCCTGGGCTCAAGAGATCCTCCCACCTCAGCCTCCCAAAGTGCTGGGACTACAGGTAGGAAGCACCACACCCAGCAGACTGTGACCATCTTATAGTTTAACTCAGGGCAGAAACTAAGCATCCAGCATCACCTCCAACCACAATCATCCTGTCCCTGGTTTGGAGCACAGGTCTTTTAAGAATTAAAGAGCTAGCTAGGCAGGTACTCAGACACAGGAGCAGATGTGGTATCTAAAGGAAAGGTCTTGAAGCTCTGTCCTCTGTCACTGAACCTGCAGCTGTGTGGTGAGGAGGCTGAGGTCTCCTGCAGTTTTGATTAGGAAAAGTCCCAATATGTTCCTCTCATCTGCTTCTCACAAGGAGAAAAATTATTACTTGATGATGTCATGGGAATTCTAATCCCATGTGGAGAATTTTTAGGATGGTTTTCCATAACAAGATGAATGCCAGCCCCTCGAGGCAAATCCATGCAGACAGAAAGTAGGGTGGTTGTGGCTGAGGTCCGGGGAGAATGGGAAGTAGGCAGGCGACAGCTAAAGTGCATGGGCTTTCTTTTTGGGATGATAAAAATGTTCTAAGACTGACGTGATGGTGGGATGCACGACTTGGTGAATATACTAAAACACACTAAGTTGTACACTTTAAATGGACCAATTTTATGGTATGGAAATGATATCTCAATAAAGTTATTTAAAAAAGAACAGCTTGGCTTCTACCAAAAAACTTTCTTTCCCCAACCAACCAATAATAAAAACCTCAAACAAACAACCAAGGCAAAACTGTCAAGGCAAAAGTACAACTCTTCCCCAGAGGAGAGGTTTAACACTGTTTTCCACCTGGCACGTGGGCTTGCCTTCTTCTGTGAAGGACATTGATAGTTTGCAAAGCTGGGCCTCCGTCTGGCAGTGCTGGCATCTGGCATAACCCTGGAAGTCTGGAAAAAGGCAAATTCAGGAGCCCTGCCTTAGTCCTATTACATCAGAACCTTCGGCCCAGCCGAAGGGCCCAGCCATTTGCGTGTCATCAAGTCCTCCTGCTCGCTGACTTTGGGTACTGGTGTGGATGACGGTGGATCTGTGAATGAACGCCCTCCTGCTCAGTGACTCTGAATGCTGGTGTGAATGGAGACGGTGTGTCTATGAATGAATGCCCTCCTGCTCCCTGACCCTGAACACTGGTGTGGATGACAGTTGATCTATGAATGAATGCTCTCTTGCTCCCTGACTCTGAACACTGGTGTGGATGACAGTTGATCTATGAATGAATGCTCTCTTGCTCCCTGACTCTGAACACTGGTGTGGATGACGGTGGATCTATGAATGAATGCTCTCTTGCTCACTGACTTTGAGCACCGTTGTGGATGATGGTGGATCTATGAATGAATGCCCTCCTGCTCCCTGACTCTGAACACTGGTGTGGATGATGGTGGGTCTATGAATGAATGCCCTCCTGCTCACTGACTCTGAACACTGGTGTGGATGATGGTGGATCTATGAATGAAAACCCTCCTGCTCCCTGACTCTGAACATTGGTGTGGATGACAGTTGATCTATGAATGAACGCTCTCCTGCTCACTGACTCTCAACACTGGTGTGGATGATGGTGGATCTATGAATGAAAACCCTCCTGCTCCCTGACTCTGAACACTGGTGTGGATGATGGTGGATCTATGAATGAAAACCCTCCTGCTCACTGACTCTGAACACTGGTGTGGATGATGGTGGATCTATAAATGAATGCCCTCCTGCTCAGTGATTTTGAGCACAGGTGTGGATGACGGTGGATCTATGAATGAAAGCCCTCCTTATTGGGAATCACTGTGGATCAGTGAAGAAAGCAAGAGGGATTTTTTTTTTTAAAGATTGGCAAATGTATTGTTTTCCCTCTAGCCTAACAGTTTAATTCTTCTGTGGTTGTATCTTTTGGGGTGAGAAATAGCAATTAAGTGAAACAAAACACACCCCACAAGACACTGACTTGTAATCCATGAAAAGCCTTTTAATGACAATTGGCATCACAGGTATAAATAAATATCTTCTTCTTTCCATCTATGATATGTGCTACAAATATATTTTTAAAAGGTCCAACCCAGGTTAGGAGGCTTCAAGGACCCTTTCTTAGCTACTGATTTTAGTAATTAAAAAAATAAACACAATAACCCCCCCTGGCATCTTGTGAGCATCCTCCTGTGGAGAGCGTGAAAGGCTGGTAGGTGTCTTCCTCCTGCAGCCGCAGTCAGTGGTGCACATGGAGAACTGGAGTCAGGTGATCACGAGGGGGCTTGTTTCACTGGTGTGGTCCTCACTGCCACATATGTGTGTCGCTTTGGATGAATGCGCTTTTGCAATGTGCTGCTACACAATTATGCTGTTCAAAAACACAGTTGATTGACAATCTAACATAGATTTTATCTTTAGAGTTTATGCTGGTACACCCCACCCAACAAAGTAAGAAAAGCAACTTAAAACCCCCCCACACAGTTTGTATCTTTGTTCATGTTACGAGCATTTATGTATCATTTGTTATGTCTTGTGATAGACCCAGCCCACCAGGTTGGCTCTGATTATACCTGAGTGTGGCCTCTTTATTTATTTATTTATTTATTTTTGAGATGGAGTCTTGCTCTGTCACCCAGGTGGGAGTGCAGTGGCACCATCTCGGCTCACTGCAACCTCTCCCTCCTGGGTTCAAGCAATTCTCTGCCTTAGCCTCCCGAGTAACTGGGATTACAGGGGCCCACCACCACGCCCAGCTAATTTTGTACTTTTAGTAGAGACAGAGTTTCACCATGTTGGCCAGTCTGGTCTTGAACTCCTGACCTCGTGATCCATCTGCCTCGGCCTCCCAAAGTATTGGGATTACAGGCGTGAGCCACTGCGCCTGGCCCTCTTTTTCGATTTAACCCAACTTTCTCTCTGCGGGAACATCCCCATGATGACAGGAGTAGATTCCCAAGGGGTCAGGTGGTCCAGGCGGGGCTCCGTTCTCCTGGCCACATCCTGTCTGTATAGCCCCTCACGAGGCCACACCTGCTGGCTTTGCCCTATGGTAGTGTGACGGATTAAGGACAGTTCTCTCCTCCCACAGAAGGCTCTGAGAGCTCCCTCCAATTGTACAAAACCAGCTACTATCAACAAAGCTGGAGGGATTAAAAAAAAAAAACATTCAAGTTACTACTTAAACAATAGATTAATTGACCTTGTTTCCAGGAACCCCTCTAATGAATAGGAATATAATTTATGTTTCATTTAGGAAAAATATACTGCTTGATTCTCAGAAATAAACATTAAACATGAATGCAGTGGAAGTCTGAGACACAGAACAAAAAAAAATAGGGAAAAGTGGAAAAGAAAAGATGATCAAGGAAAGATGTAAAACTCCTTGGTTCTATCCCAGGAGGCATCACTGGTAAGAGACGTCTCCTCCCCGGACCTGTGGTGACAGTCGAAGGCTGTCCTTGAAAAGGTGAAAAAGTGTCTCTTAGCAGGCCCTATTTTTATATTTTGCTCCTTTATTAGAAATATAAACAGATGATTATTTCTATCTCTTTTTTATTTGTCTTTTTGCATTTTTTTAACAAATAATTTTTGGTAGCTTGTCTGTAGTATGTTTTGACTCATAAAATAACCTTCCTAATTTTGCTTGTGCAGTTCAGTTGCTTGGTCTGCACTCCCCATGGCCCAGACTTTATTCTCCTGACCTTTGAACATCCACCATCATTGACTGCTGAAAATCCCTTGATACAAAAATGTCCTTTCCCGACTTCTTCAAAACTTTCCAACTGGTCTAGCATGGCGCCCGAGACCTTCCCTTCTTAACCTGGCTGACAACTCCTTCTGCCCCACTTGGACCAGTTTCCAGTACAAGGAAGGCATCGGGGCAGGGCCCTTTGGCTAGAGGGGCCTAAGCCTTATCTTTGAGTTTCTCCAGATAGTTTCTAAGTTCCTTGGGGGGACCCACAGCCATGTCTTGGCACACCCATTTGATGTCCTCTTCATTGCCGCTGACGATAGAGTTCACCGTGGGGCAGCTGTCATCCGGGGGGATGGTGGTAAAGGTGGTGAATTTCACCTTCTTCCTCTTGGAGGTGGGCGAGTGCAGGGGGTCCTGCTTCTGGTCTCTGCCCTGCCGCCCCCCGGAGTCGGCCGACCTGTGGATTTGGCTCTGCACGTGCTTGTGGGAGCCGCCGTTGAGCAGGAGGTGGTTGCTCTCCTCGCAGGCCCCTGGCCCGCGGTCTATGATGGTGGTGTGCTCATCCTGGGGCGGCGGCGCGTCCCCCACACTCTCCAGGAGCTCGGCCTCATTGCCGAGCCACACCCAGTCATGAGAGTGGGTCATGGAGGCCTGGCCTTCCAGGGGCGCTTGCTTGTGCCTGTACTTCAGGGCAAAGGTGGCACAGTTGATGAGGAAGACGAGGATGGCCAGGCAGAACACCCCCAGGAGGGCATACATCCCGATCTCCAGGTCACTCAGGCCCCGCTGTGTCTGCACCAGGTCATTCTCCTCCAGCCCACTCCCAGCCTTGGGGAGGTCCACGTGGGCCGGGAAGTTGGTGAAGTCGATGGGGATGTTCTGCAGCTGCCCCTCTCCTGCCAGCCTGCCCCCATCTGCCCGGCTGTTCTTCACCACTTTGTTGTCCAGCAGGGACCTGGCCGTGGTGGTGCTTCTCCGGAGAGCCCCTTCCTCGCGCTCCCCGGGAGCGCCGCTGTAGAAGTGCCCGTCCTGGCCTGTGCGCTCGTGGTGCTGACCCTTCTGCCGGCGGTCACTGGCGTGGTTCTTCATCTCATCTTTCTCATAGTCCCTGCCGGGGCTGGAGTCAGCGTCGTTCTGTCCAAACTTGACCCTGATGTTGCCAGTGCCCACGGCCAGGACGCTCTTGCGTTTGGATTTCTGGCAGGCCTCGGCGATCGTCAGGTCCACTCGGACCAGCGGGCCCTGGCCTTCCCCTTCGGCCACCACGACGGGCCACCTGGAAGAGCGGGCCTGGGGGACCGACACGACAGCCTCGTCCTGGGAGGTGGCTGCCAGGGAGAAGTCGTTGGTGTCGTAGATGTCCAGGGGCGTCACTGAGCCATCGCTGAACTGCAGCCACGTGCTGACTACAGCTTCCTGCAGGGACACAGGCAGTTAGAAGACCACTTGGGGGATGCCTCTTCCCTTAGAAACCCCCTCCTAGGAGGACACCCAAAGAAACAGGGAGTGGGACCCTAAATCCAGACTCAGTAGCTGATGCATCTGGGGAGAACTCATACAGGGGCAGAGAAATCACCTTAATTTAAATGAGAACAAATGGGAATGTGACTAACAGCTCTCGCATAATCCTTACCAGGAACAAACAAACAGCGAACAAAAATCCCTAACAGATGAGGCTCCAGGTGGCTTTATCCACACAGTGATCACTTGAATCAGCTAGCCGGTGCATCTTCACAGACAGTGACTGGCTTCCAGGGCAGGCCCTGGTCATTTTGCCACACACCCTGTGATTAGTGGCCTGATTATGATGAATGGATACAGCTGTCGTCTATATCCAGCATGACGGCAAAGGCTGATGGGCGGGAAACACTGTCAGAGCCAAGGGCATTAGAAAGCAAGCTCCCCTCTTCTCCCTGCACAGCCCCAGTGAGTTAAGCTTCACCTGAGAGACAGGAGAACAAGAGCGTTTTGCCTTTTAAGGCTGACCCTGTTGTGCCACTGCAGATGCTTTGCTTGGCTGCAGCCGGACAGCAGTGAGGTGTGGGGGACAGCACATGGCGTTAGCTGGTGGTCCCGTTCAGTGGTGCTGCTTTTGTTCTGCATGGGTAGCTGGAAATTCCCATCAGAGGGAAAGAGGAAGCTGAGGGCCAGTGTGAAGGGGCTACGTTTATCTTGCAGACTCATTACACATCTGTCAGTAACCCAATAGCTATGTAAAAATTATTTCCCATTGTGGAGACAGGTAAAAAAAATTAGACTTTATGTGCCTGACTTACCCAAAATAATGTCTTCGGGTCCATCCACATTGCTGTAAATGACAACATTTCACTCTTTTTAATGGCTGAATAATATTCCAAAAGAATTGAAAGCTATTGGCCTAGAAATGCCACTCACAGCCACACCCACGTGACTGGCAGATTCTCAGGCGCACAAGGCTTCCTGCTCTCGCCTTCTCTGCAGGGTGACAATGACCATCCTCTCCCCTTTGTGTGCCCAGAGCAAACATAACCCCACGGAAGGCCTTGTTTTTGACTTAGCTGTGGGTACTTCTTCTTTTTATTATTATTATACTTTAAGTTCTGGGGTACATGTGCAGAAAGTGCAGGTTTGTGACGTAGGTATACATGTGCCATGGTGGTTTGCCACACCCCATCAACCCATCATCTACATTAGGTGTTTTTCTAATGCTGTCTCTCCTCTACCATTTGATCCAGCAATCCCATTTCTGAGTAAACACCCAAAGAATTATAAATGATTCTACTATAAAGACACATGCACACATATGTTTATTGTGGCACTGTTCACAATAGCAAAGACTTGGAACCAACCCAAATGCCCATCAATAAGAGACTGGATAAAGAAATTGTGGCACATATACACCACAGAATATCATGCAGCCATAAAAAGGATGAGTTCACGTTCTTTGCAGGGACATGGTTGAAGCTGGAAACCATCATTCTCAGCAAAGTAACACAGGAACAGAAAACCAAACACCGCATGTTCTCACTCATAAGTAGGAGTTGAACAATGAGAACACATGGACACAGGGAGGGGAGCATCACACACCAGGGCTTGTTAGGGGGTGGGGGGCCAGCTATGGGTACTTTTATTCTGCCTCCAAGAGTGGGAATTCCTTAAGGGCAGAGACTCTTAGCAGTGGCCCCAATGTTCAGCACTTAGGACAAAGCCTGGGTATAGATGGGAAATAGTTTTTCCTGGATGAACAGAGGAGGGTGAAATGTGTAACCTAATCACAAAACGACAGCCCGTATCCACCGGGCACTTGTTATGGGTCAGGTGTTGTCTGTAGCTATTTACAGAATGCATTTTCTCCTCCTTCACGAAGTGGGTTGGGTTATGCTTCCTGCCCAAAGAGAGGTTAAGAAATGTGCTCACACCACACACATGCTCATCGCAGCACTAGTCACAATAGCAAGGACACGGAGTCACAATAGCACAGGAACAAAGTCAACCTAAATGGCACCTGAGCCACAGCAAGTGCCCAGTAGATACAGGCTCTCCATTCTGAGATTAGGATTGCACATTTCACCCCCTCCATTCATCTAGGAAACACTAACCAGTCCGTTAGTGATAAACTGGATAAAGAGAATGTGGTACATTTATATGATGGAATACTATGCAGCCATTAAAAGAACAAGATTCTGTCCTTTGCAGTGACACAGATGGAGCTGGAGGCCATTATTTTTAGCAAACTGATACGGAAATAGAAAACCAAACACTGCACATTCTCACTTATAAGTGGGAGCTAAATGATGAGAACACATGGACAGATAGAAGGAACAGCACACACTGGGGCCCATTGGAGGGTGGAGGGTGGAGGCTGGAAGTGGGGTGAGGATCAAGGGAAATAAGTAATGGGCACTAGGCGTAACACCTGGGTCATGAAATGATCTGTACAACAAACACCCATGACACAAGTGTGCCTACGTGACAAACCTGCACATGTACCCCTGAACTTAAAATAAAACTTAAAATATAAAATAAAAAAGAGCTATGTCCAGTCACATGATTAGGAGGAGGCAGGATCTGGGCTGGAACAGATGTGACTTCAGAGCTGAGCTCCTGACCACTGTGCTGGGGACCCCCAGGACAGCTGCAGCCAGGGCCCACGTATTAGCCCCACAAAGACCACGACAACTCACCCTCTGCTGAGAAAGTCAGGTAGCTGCCTCCTTTCCTCTCTGCCTTTTTTTTCTTTTTACAGCAAACCAGGTCTGACCTGGGGCCCTCCTGGACCTTTGTCCCCATCCATCCCGGACACTGTCACTGCAGCCCAGGGAGGCAGCAGGCACCCTCTCCATGGACGGGGCATGGGAAAATCCTTCCTGCTGAGCCAGAGATATAGCAGCAAAGCTAGTGTGTGCTCTGAGCCCTGGGTGGAGATGTCTGCACTCAAAATCAAAAGCCCACACTTAGGTGTGATAGCTGTGTGGTATGGGAATTGGGAGAAGAGAAACTCACTTGACGTTGGACCTGTGCAAATGCAAATACAACCTCCTTCAGAACAAAACTAAGCCAAACAGCCAGGGTTCAAGAGGTATTCACGATACAAAGAAAGGAAGGTTACAACCTGTAGGTGGGAAGGCTGCACCATGAGAGGGATGCATCAAACATCTACACAGGAAGGCGAGCGGGCTGACAGGTGAGATCATAGAAGACTCCAAAGGCTATAACATAAAACAAACCAGCAGGAAACAATACTCTATGAAATAAAACGTAACATAAAACAAATCAACAAAAATAGTCTATGAAATAAAATTAAAACGAAATTAAAAGCTTATTTAAAAAATTAAAGAGACATTCAAAGGAGTTGGAATTGTCTCAATAAAAGTGAATGGGGCCCAGGCAAGGTGGCTCACGCCTGTAATCCCAGCATTTTGGGAGGCCGAGGTGGGTGGATCACCTCAGGTCTGGAGTTTGAGACCAGCCTGGGCAACATGGGGAAACCCCATCTCTACAAAAAATACAAAAGTTAGCCGGGCGTGGTGGTGCCCACCTGTAATCCCAGCTGCTTGGGAGGCTGAGGTAGGAGAATCGCTTGAACCCAGGAGGCGGAGGTTGTAGTGAGCCAAGATTGTACCACTGTGCTCCAGCCTGGGCAACAGAGCAAGAATCTGTCTAAAAAAGAAAAAAAAAAAAAAAAGCAAAAGCAAATTAAAACAGAGCAGGAAGGAAGGGGTGCAAATAGCCATGTAGAATCTCTAGAAATGAAAAGCATGGTCCCTGAAGTCGGTGACTCAATGGGTGGTTGAACAGCAGATGGGACACGTTAGAGGAGAGAATTGGTACGGCGGGAGACGAAGCCACCCACGTTACCCCAAGTAGGTCCACAGGCACATGGAGAAATAAACCGTGAAGGGCAGGCGAAAAGCAAAGAAAAAAGAGAGAATGAGAATTCCCAACGGTTGTTTGGTCGGAATTCCAGAAGGAAACACTGGAGGAGCCTGGGGCAAGCAGTGTTCACAGCAACGACGCTACGCAGGACTGAGGAAGAATGCCTGCGAGTAAAACAAAATTCTGGCGACATCGTTGGAGCATCTGCGTCTAGCTGTAGCTGAAGATCCAAACGCCTGGCCATGAACTGAAACGTTCTGCTGTGTGTGAAGTGGGCTGAGCTGGGTCACATCACTTGTAATGGTAAGCCCTGGCCAACGGCAGCTGGCTCTGATGGGTGAGCCTGTGTAGGAAACTTTGGGAGGGTGCGGAGCTCTCTTTGGGGGGCTTCCCACTCAACTCCTGCTAGCTGAACTTTCAATGATCAACTGTGCTTTTTTTTTAAACATATCTTTTGCCCAAGGTCACTCTCTGGCTTCTAGAACCCCTGTGGTTGTGCGTACAGTAAAATGCGCTGTGGGCAGCCCTCAGTGAGACATGACAGAGCTGTTGTATTTATGCAGTGACCCTTTTGGCCTTTCCAGATGTGAGTCACCCAGCCGGCAGGCGCTCCGGCTCCCCTTGGCGGTGGCTGAGTTGCTAACACTCTGCTGGTTGCATTTTTCTTCCTCCCATCAGCCCCGGCTTCTCTGCTGGCGTTGTCTTCACCACCTGAATAAACTACCTGCACTTGAATCCTTGTCTCAGGCTCCGCTTCCAAGCAGACCAAAACGAAGACAGAAGAGACGGCTCCAGGATGCTGGTGCTCGCCTTTGTCGCCTCTGCCCACGTAAGCTGCCGAATCGCACAATCCGACACGTCCTAATGCTCACACACGAAGACCAAGTGCTTTTGCATTTTCCTATCCTACTTTCTTTCTTTCTTTCTTTTTTTTTTTTTTTGACACTGAGTTTCACTCTGCGGCCCAGGCTGGAGTGTAATGGCATGATCTTGGCTCACTGCAACCTCCACCTCCCAGGTTCAAGTGATTCTCCTGCTTCAGCCTCCCAAGTAGCTGGGATTACAGGTGTCTGCCACCATGCCCTGCTAATTTTTGTATTTTTAGTAGAGATGGGGTTTTACCGTGTTGGTCAGGCTGGTCTCAAACTCTTGACTTCAGATGATCCACCTGCCTTGGACTCCCAAAGGGCTGAGATTACAGGCATGAGCCACTGCGCCTGGCCCCTACTTTATTAAGAGCAAACAAGGCACAGGGGAACATACAAGCCACTACTCTCATATTGGTAGGTGTGAAAATCTTTCAGATTTTCTATTTCAAAATTCAAAATGTCACGAACAAGGTGCCAACCTTCTATACTCTAAGGGCTGAGATAAAAGACTTAACAGCGTGCAAGTTCATTGTGGCTGACGTTTCATCTTGAATTAATTTTTCTTCACAAACTAGATGGAGAAAGAAGTTAACATACAACAAGCCCCCCGAAGAGCAGACAATCGGAACGAAGGCCTCAGAACACCCTTGGCTTGCCAAGATCCATCTGCATCAGCCCTGCCGCATGATTGAGACTAACGTCTTCCACTAGCTCATTACAGAGAAGCTGGAATGCAGCGTTTCATTAGGAGGAGCCAACACATTTCCCCAAAGATGAGAAATTCTGAATGACTTAATGTAACACATGCCCAGAAATGATTTAGAGCTCTTTCCTTTCAGGAGCTGTGTCTGCAAATCAGATGAACTACATCCACAAATCCCCCTGAGTCAGTGCTAGGGGACGCCAATTACTGTCAGCTGATGAAGACAGATGGGTGACATGAGATGGGGTCTCCTGGCTGTGCCCCATGCCGGGGGGTTGCAATGCCAATCGCCCACCCTGATTCATTATCCATTCTCAGCAAATAGCTTCATGCTTTCAGCTTTCTCTCCCCTACGTTCCTCAGCTCTTTTTAATCCCAAACATAAGAGTATTACTCTGCTCTTTGTAAACCAGAAAACACCATGCTGATTTCCTGCGCTATCTGCTCTCAAAGAGAAGAACTGAAGAAGCCAGTCCTGGGCTGGATGGGGACCTGCATGCACCCCAGGTCCCTCCTGTTGGCACTGTGGGGCAAAATCAGGGAGCAGCTGTCTCCTCGTTAGGCAGGATTCCTAGAATGGCACCAAAGATGTTCTGCCCCAATTCCCAGAACATGGATGTAGGGTAAGTGATCGCTCTCATGATTATGTTATGTTGTTACGTGACAGCTGATAGAGTGATTTTCCTGGATTATCTGGGTGAGTCCCGTGAAATCACGAGTCCTTAAAAGCAGAGCGATTTCTCTAGCTGGTGACAGAAGGGGAAGCTGGAGAGACGGGGAGCATGAGAAGGACTCCATGCACTGTTGCTCGTGTTGCAGCCGATGAGGGTTGTGTGGGGAGTGGGAAGGAACGCAGGTGGACTTGAGGGGCTAAGACAGGATTCCAGCCAATCACCAGCAAAGAACTGGCAGCCTCAGCCCTGCCACTGCAAAGATCTGGATTCTACCAACACAGATGATTCTGGAAGTGGATTCTTTCTTAGAGCATGCTGGCAAGAACCTAGGCAACCCACACTGTGATTTCAGCCTTCTGATACTCTGAGCATGAAACCGGCAGAGCCCACCCGCCGCGCTGTGCACTAGCAAGTAAGTGAGCTTTGTTTTCAGCTGCTAAGTGTGCGGCAGGTGACGGGCATGTCTCTGTGCTCCGAGCATCCTCACGCTAGCGCGTCGTCGACCCCACTTCTGGACGAGGCCGCCACATGGATTTCACACAGCCTGCACTGCTTGCTTATAACAGCAGCCCGGCCCCAGTAGGCATTTGAGTTTGCAGCCCTTGAGCTGCACCGAAATCCTGCACGGCGGCTGGAACTGCCCATCCCCCTAGAAGAGCGCAAGCCCCTAGACTTCGTCATCATGCCCGCGCCCCGCCTTCGCTGTGCTCTGTTCACATCACCATGCCTCTGCTTCGTAGCATTACCATGTTCCTGCTAGCGCACGCCAGGGAAACCCAGCCCCTACTCTAACCCCTGGGCCCTGTCACCTGTCACAGCCACACGACAGCTCCTCCAGCACTGCTTAGCCCATAGTGGGGTGTGGATTTAATCTGAGCTTCCCCCCTGGACTGCCTGCCTTTTGTGGCTACAAGTCACCAGAGGAAACTGGGTGTGAAGCAGAATGTTCTGAGTCAAGACTGTCTGCTCTGATGGAGCACCCAAGGCCCTGTGTGCTCTCACTAAAATAATGCTCACAATAGCAGCGGGCATTCCCAGGAAAAGAGCTGGCACTGGATGGCATATGCCAGCCGCTGTTTTTAGCACTCCGCATCATCAAGCTGAATTTAATTTGCAAACGGACTCTCACAGGTGTTGTTACTTTCTCATTAAGGATTGAGACACGAGTGAGGTGTCTTGCCTGAGGTTACATAGGTTGTAAGGGACATGGCTGTGATGCCATCTGGGCCTTCTGGCTCCTAAGTCTGTCCCAATGATGACATCAGAAGCAGAAAGTCTTGCAGACAAGGCCAACATACAGATGCAGGTTGCTAAGGTCAGACGGGCACATCCTGGCTGTGTTAGGTGGATCATTCTCCCTGCTCACTTTCCGGCATCCTGACTTCCAGCTCAGCTCTAAGAGTCATTCAGTCACTCAACCAGCATTTATTCAGCACCTACTGTGTGCTGGTCCTGTGATTGTCAATGGGGACAGAGCAATAATCAGGGGGCTTGTCTTGTAGAAGTTTATATCCTATGGAGGAGAAACATGCTTTGTGTGGTAGGAAATGGGGCTGAATCAGACCCATTCGCTGTGAGTGAAAGCACTGATGACAAGAGGGTATCATAACTGGGTATGAAAATGGGAAGGAGCCGTGCTCAGTGGTGAGGGTGGTGTGTCCCAGGCAAAAGCAACTGCCATGGCAAAACCCCTAAAGAAGTGCGAAGGGAGTGTGTGCCGCAAGTGGGGTGAGAGAGACGGAGGGCTGCGGAAGAGGAAGTCAGAGGTGTAGCCGGGGGCTGCGGCACGTGCAACGTCAAGGAATGCAGTCTCTTTCTAAGTGCGCTGGCAAGTCATCGGAGCATTTTAAACCAGTGTGGCATGATGTGATTTATGGCTCTTTAAAATTATACTTTAAGTTCTGGGGTACATGTGCAGAGCCTGCAGGTTTGTTGCATAATAATACACATGCTGTGGGGGTTTGCCGTATCCATCACCCTGTCATCTACATTGGGTATTTCTCCTAATGCTACCCCTCCCGTACCCCCAGTTTTAAAGGCGTACTCTGCTCTTGAGAGGAGCAGGGAGTGCAGGGGTGAGAACGGCAGCCAGGAGACCTGGTGAGGAGGCTGGTGACGGTCTGTGTTGCCCAAAAGCTCCGTGGGCGAGGTGAGCACTTTGCCTGCAATGACTTGGCCTCCATGGTGCGATGTGGTTCTGCCGACCTGCCCCCGTCTCTCCCTCCACTGGGCCCCTCTGCTGAAGCAGGCACAGTGGCTGACCCTGCTCACTCTCAACCTCTGGTATTTGGCCCCCTACCTGTTTGGGGGTCCGCAGCAGCTCCTCAGCGGTGGCCACAGCTGTTATGGCCTTGCTGTTTTCTGCATTGGGGTAAAGGGCGACAGACAGCCCGGCCACGAGCTGGATGGCCAAGTCTGTCACCGACACTTTGTCATCTAGCACGGTTATTGTCTTCTCTGCCAGGATGGAGTCCGACAGTGGGGACAGCACCTGTGGGATTGGCAGGACACAGGGGAATCTATCACACGTTTCCAGAGGTCAGCCCACTTCCCAGAAATATTTCTTCCATCCCAACAGGCCTGAGGTCCAGAATACAGGCCAAAGGAGTTACATACCTACTTCTACACTGGCCCATCCCATGCCTTTGTGAGAATCCAAATAAAGTCACCCCTTCCCCAAGACACCTTAATTCTTTCTGTTGAAAAATTGGAATATATATTGAAATCCATTCTGTCTTTAAAAGGGAACGATCTGTCCTATTTAGATGAAGCATGCTTGTACAGTGCACAACCTGGTTAACTGTACATGATGATCCTGTTGAACAGTCTCATGAAGAGTTGAATTATAAATTTATAAAAGTGAATTATAAATAATTCACTCCTCCCACCACCACCACAATGTATCCTCTGCGGAAACACTGCTTTCTGCCTCATCTTGTAAGCCAAATGTTGGGCTTGAGATGTCCAGGGGAAATGATAGAAATGTGCTAAACATTTCCACATATGGTATAGGGATCCTGAATGACATTCCAGAAAGGTGGATTCAGAAGGGTGGGACTTGAGGGGCTGAGGAAAAGGCTGTCCACGTCCCATCATTTGTCCTTAACATTTACCATTTTATACAATTCCTCAAGTACACAAGGGATAGTTGGATTTCAAAGCGAGCTTGTTGGATAAGTAAATGGCAGGAAGGCAGAGTGACTGAAGGATGGGAGGAATGAGAGGACGAATCCGTGCTTTTTCCCTGGGCTGCTGGGAGAAGCGTGGCACAGGGCAGAGGACGGCTAGTTCTAAGAAGGACAGGGGGAATACGTCAGGAAAGCGTGTGCCAAGTAGGAGAAGCAGAGGTGGGATGGGGGTGCTGGCAGGTGGTGGGAATGGAGGATGCAGCCGTTGGGAATGAGGCCACACGGGGAGCTACGAGAGGGCAGCTGCCACCTTCTCCATTCTGTCTGGAAGGAGACTGGATACTAGATCCATCTTGGACCCATCTTCCTGTGTCCCCACAATACCATCTGGAGCCATCACGGGGTTGAGGAATTGGCCGCAGTGACCTGTCCACCCTTTGAGTCTCCCTCAACACCGCACTCATGCCCAGTGCTGGGGACACGGAGACGCCAGCTCCCTACCTGGATGGTCGTCATCCCGACCTCTCGCCCCACCAGGACCTGGCTGTCCTGCAGGGTGGCCACGTGAGGCTCCTCCAGCTTCATGAAATCTGCCACCAGGTGAGTGATGTCAAACTGCCAGTCGGGACTGAGCAGGTGGCTGGGTTGGCCCCATGGGCCGGCGCCCTCGGACACAAACTGGGTGAGGACCCGCACGGTGGCGTGCTGGTACTGCAGCGCGCAGCCCCGGCCCCGCCGCTCCTCCTCGTCCTCATCCTCGCTCTCACGAGTGGGCCTTGTGGGAAGGGACACAGAGCTCTGAGATCCAGGGAGAGGAGTCCCAGATGTTCTAGAGACAGGCAGGCGCCCTCCTCAACCTCAAGGAGACTACATTGAAGACACGAGCCCCAGGACCACTCGGGGGGCACCAGGCCTCTCTCTAGGCAGCACTAAGGGATGGGCATCTCTTTCTCAAATACATTCACAGATAAATAAAAGACAAGGGCTAATATGTACTAAACCGGCACTGTCTCATAAGTAGCCATTGGCCACATGTGGCTATTTTAATTTTTGTTAATTAATATTATTATATTTTTAGAGATAGGGTCTTGCTCTGTTGTCCAGGCTAAAGGGCAGTGATCCATCCTAGCTCAATGCAGCCTTGAACTCCTGGGTTTAGGTGATCCCCCTGCTTCGGCCTCCTGAGTAGCTGGGACTATAGGCATGCACCATCATGCTTGGCTAATTAAAAAAAAAAATTCTGTAAAGATGGGGTCTTGCTATGTTGCCCAGGCTGGTCTTGAACTCAAGTGATTCTCCCACCTTGGCTTCCCAAAGTGCTGAGATTACAGGCATGAGCTACCACACCCAGCCCTAAATGTTAATTTAAATAAATAAAAATTAAACAAAAAAAAATTGAACTTCTCCGCTACAGTGGCACAGTCTAGCCACTGCAGAGCTACCTGTGCTAGTGACCACCATATTGGACAGAGTGGTTCTAGAACATTCCACTACAATAGAAAGTCCTACTGGACAGAGCTGTCTTACACACTTGAGATGCAGCAGGTTCCATTCTATGCTTCCACATGTATGAACTCTTGGAGCCTCATAATGCTATGAGGCAAATCCTAACTATTTTCACGACCATACAAAGAAACTAAGGCACAGAGAAGTTACGTAGCTTGCCCACAAAGCTAATTAGTGGCAGAGATTGGATTGGAGCCCCAGGAGTCTCAGTTCCTCCCCCTCGGGATGTGGAACAAACTTATTGTCTTGGGTACTCATGACCACAAACTGATCTGAAGTACGGGCTAGATTAACGGCTGTCCTTTCCCATTGAGCCAAGTGCCTTCAGCTTCTTACGGAGATGGATTCCGCATCTCACTGTCCTGCTTACTCTTCTTGAGAAGCTCCCCCTTAAGAGAAAGGCCCTGTTCCCTGGGGGACTGTCAGGAAAAGAGCCGATGGTGGGGGTGTAACATTCCAGGCGGGAAGCTGGGAACTCAGCAACACCTTTGCTTAGCTAACATCTGCTAATCCGGGGGTCACAGAGCTGAGAAAACAAGACCTCATACTCTTACACATGACAGACAGACAGTCCGGAATCCCAGATAACAAATTAGAGGCTTTTGGCTACCAGTGAGCCTGGGGTCCATTAGAAATGGGCCGGGCGCGGTGGCTCACACCTGTAATCCCAGCACTTTGGGAGGCTGAGGCGGGTGGATCACGAGGTCAAGAGATCGAGACCATCCTGGTCAACATGGTGAAACCCCGTGTCTACTAAAAATACAAAAAATTAGCTGGGCATGGTGGCGTGTGCCTGTAATCCCAGCTACTCAGGAGGCTGAGGCAGGAGAATTGCCTGAACCCAGGAGGCGGAGGTTGCGGTGAGCCGAGATTGCACCATTGCACTCCAGCCTGGGTAACAAGAGCGAAACTCTGTCTCAAAAAAAAAAAAAAAAAAAAAAAAAAAAAAAGGAAAAAAACTTTAAAAAAAAAAAAAAAAAAAAAAAAGAAATGCAATTAAATTTTATTCCATAATTTGATCTGCACAAAGCAATTCAAGCTGAGACATATGCATAAAGCTCAGAGGACTTTGGCATTTTTCTTGGAGAAAAATAAAAGAAACTTCAAATTGCTTGGTAACAAAGATGCTAAAAAAATGTATTAAACTCCATCGTGTCATTTTGGGAGAGCCACTTTCAAGAGACGGCCTCATGTAGGCCACGGTGCAGATCGCAAACAGCCTGGGTTCCCACAGATCCGCTGTTGAGCAGTTTTTGGGCCTGGCTGGGTTATCGGGAGCCTTGTGGGGATGCAACTGCTGAGATAATACCAGCACCTCTTAAGCACTGGGTCCTTTAGTGTTAAGGTCAGTAAATAAAGTTGTTGTTTCGGCTCTAGGGTGCCTCCCCATCCCAAGCTCACCTCTTACTGGTCACAATGGGGACCCTCCAGCCCTTGATCTGGCTGAGCTCTGTGTCAGAGACCTCGATCTGCAGCGGCAGCCGGGGCACCCACACGGTGACATGCAGGGGGGCGCTCAGGTACTGGTATGTGAAGTTCACCACCGCTTCCGTCTTGCCTTTGATCTCTTTACCATTGACGAAGATGTAGTCACAGCGGTCAGACACCTGTACAGACAGGGGGAGAGAGGATGGGGGAGACGTTCACGGACTCTGGAGACCATCCTTTTTTTGTTTTTCCTGTTCTCTTGCAAAGCACAAGTGCTTACTTTGGGTTTCTCCTAATGCAGAGCCTGAGACAAGGACTTGGTGCGCTCAGTTTAATTTGGAGGCGACCCCAGGGAGCATGGGTGAAGGAGCAGATGAGGGAAACAGAGAAAGAAGAAAAGCCAATAGGAAGGTGCCTTTCTGAGGCTGCCACAGGGACCGCACAGGGACCGCAGGCTCAGTTTTCAGAAACTTCATGAAAAGTATCTAGAATTATCCACCTGAGGGGCAAGAATTGGGAATATTTTTTAGCTGCCATTTCTTTCTGCCCCTGCCTGGGACACATACAGCAGACTGAGGTGAGACTGCAATCAAAAAGCGAACGTGAACTTGCACAGAACTGCCGCTGTAGCTGAAATCTGGGCGGGCTGAGTCATTTGATGTGAGCACCAGAGGTGTTCGCGCCCTGGGCAGGTGCGTCTTTTCAGAAAGTAACTGCACCCAGAACCCACCCCTTCCAGCCTCCAAGGATGCAAAGGCCTGGAGTGCTTTCCTCCCAGCGTGGTTCTCACCAACTCCGAGGTCTCTCCCCTCCATGCACATGCGGGCCGGACGCAGGTTCTTTATGGCCTCCAGGCTTTGGCAAGGCCAGTCCGTTTTCCTGGAAGCACCCTCCCGTCCCTATGTGCCCCCAGTTCAGGGGTTCCTGGGACACATCTTCTATGAACCCATGGTATTGTTTATATAATGCGTGTTCACCGCGTGAATAGCAGATCACAGACGGGACTACCAACCTGTGTTCCCTCTCCCATGTGCCTCCCTTTCCTTTTCCCCTTCCTGGCAGTTTGCTGTCTCAGGAAAGGGAGGAGAAAGAGCAGAAACAAAAAATAAAAACACACAGACAAAAAAATAAAGTTTGCAAGTATCTGGCTTTTGTGTTCCAAGGTTATTCATTCAAATATGACTCGCTCTGCAGCCCAGTGGCCCTTCCCAGTGCAGCAAGGAAGCAGCAGAATGATGCCTATGGTCTCAAGCAGGCAGGAAGGGTCAGTGTGGACAACAATGAGGGCCACTGAGAAGGTAACCTGTGTGCACTGTGACGGGTAAAGGATGCCCCTAGCAATTGCAAACAGAAGACTGTAAGACAGTTCCCTTCCCCAAGGCTTTGGCAATAGTTAAGTCCCCTGGAAATTAGTTTCTGCCACGCTGATGAATCGAAAACTGAAAATAGAAACAAAGTTGGGTTACAGAGAAACAATATGACCCATCTTGAATGGCCAAGTTTATCAGATGTGATTTAAATGGGTCCCATGTGTCCATATCACCTCTTAAACTAAGAAGTCCTTGAAGGCAAAAAGTACATCTTGTTTATTTTTCACCTCTGGGCTCCTTACACCAGCTGCTTATGAAGCAGGATCTCAGTGAAATGGATATTGCATGGATGAATGGATGCATGAGGAGATGGACAGACAGATGAACAGATGGATGACTGCACACATTGATGCACAGGCAGATGGACAGATGGAGAAATGGATGAATGGGTGGATGGACAGGTGAATGGGTGGTGGACACATGGGTGGATAGATGGATAGACAGGTGAACTGATGGATGGATGCACATGCTGATGGACAGACAGATGGACAGATGGAGAAATGGATGAATGGGTGGTGGACACATGGGTGGATAGATGGATAGACAGGTGAACTGATGGATGGATGCACACATTGATGGACAGACACATGAATGGACGGATAGACAGGTGAATGGCTGGTGGATAAACGGGTGAATCTGTCAATAGACTGAAAGATAAACAGATGGATAGATGCACACATCAATGGACAGAAAGAAGGGTAGATGGATGGATGGACAGGTGAATGGCTGGTGGATAAATGGGTGAATAGGTGGATAGATGGATAGACAGATGAACTAATGGATAGATGCACACATTGATGGACAGACACATGAATGGACGGATAGAAAGGTGAATTGCTGGTGTATAAATGGGTGAATTTGTCAATAGACTGAAAGATAAACAGATGGATAGATGCACACATCAATGGACAGAAAGAAGGATACATGGATGGATGGACTGGTGGATGAATGGCTGGTGGATAAATGGGTAGACAGCTGGACAGATGGACAGACAGGTGAACAGAGAGATGGATACACACATTGACAGGTGGTTGGATGGATAGACGAATGGCTGGTGGATAAATGGGCGAATAGGTGGATAGATGGATAAACAGATGGATGAATGCATACATTGATGGACAGACACATGAATGGATGGATGGACAGGTGAATGGGTGGTGGATAAATGGGTGAATAGGTCAATAGACTGATAGATGAACAGATGGACAGATGCACACACTGACGCACAGACAGATGGACAGAGGGATGGATGAGCAGGGCCTGTCCTTCATGGGATGTCATCAAAGATCTTGGGGTTGATGGGAGATGCAGTGAGAGACTGAGATGAGATGGAGCCAAAAGCCACAAAAACACAAGAAGTTAATTCAAAAGTTTCTAGAAAGTTCTCAGGCAGTGTTTCCTAACATTTCTTGGGTCATTCACTCTTTTGAGAATACATATAAAGCTAATTATTGCTAGAGAAATGCGCATACATACAGTTTAGCGGAACATTTCAGAGTGAATGAAATCACTCAGAAGCCCCTCACATAGCACTTAGCATACTAAGCTATAATTGCTGATATGCTTATCGGTCTCCTGTCTATATCATGTATTTTGGAAAGAACAGAGTCCCCTTCTGGGGGCCTGTGGCCTCAGCCAAATAACATCCAGTGCTGAGCAAAGAACTCTTGTAATCTGATCACCCTCTCTTCCCCCAGCTTCCGGGAACCATGGATGGCTACTCTGGGCTCAATTTTCATCTTCAATGTGCACTTCTGTTTGGAGAGGCAGCTGGTGAGGGCTGGGCTGAGAGAATTTCCTCCATCTGCTGGGGACCAGTGGCAGGGAGCAGTTGGGAAGGGAGCACATGGATGGATCTTCTCATTCATGGTCAAGAGTGGTTTAAAAATGTTTACACGCTGATTAAAGATGGAAGACAATTTTAGTTGCTGTCCCAGGCTTGTCATTAGCAGGTGAACACTGCCCTGGATCTGGGAAGGCATTAGCATAACAGCCGAGCAAGAGTTATATCAGTAATCACTTCTTTAATCAATGTTGTAATTTACAGACCATTGACTTTTCTCATTTATTACCTTTCTGAGCTCTGGTGGGAGGAAACCTGGCCGCTCCCGAATATATAAATAATTAAGAGCAATGCCAAGGGTATGAAGTTGCCATGCATGATAGAGCCGTCACTGCTATTCCTGAAGGTGTCATAAACGCCTGGGGACATCTCAGGATGCATTAATCATCTCCTAAGTGGCTAGCGGTGAGAACAGAGCCACCGTATTAAAGAATGAGCCTGCTCATCTACAAAAAGGAACCGAAACCCCACAGGAGTCTTTGTAGTCCCTCGGCTTTGTTTCTCAGCCTGCTTTCCAACCTTCTTTGTGGAGGAGCTGCCTGTTGAGAAAACTGCCCACTGGACTGCACTCACTCTGACATTTAAACTATGCGGGCAGAAAGCATGAGCCAAGGCCCAGGTATCAGTGTCTGTCTGTAAGGATGCGGGGGCGGCGGAGTCATGTGGGGCCTGGTGGAGCCACATACGGTCAGTGGCCATATTCTGTTATCACTCACCTTCCTAATGGCCCCTTCCTGAGACCACACCTGCCTCCTGAGGAGAGCCTCGGGGTCACTTTCCAAGGGGAAGGCAGAGGCATCTGCCGGTCAGCCATGGATGTCTCGTGGAAGCCTTGCCTGAATTGTATTCTAGCCAAGCTGCTTCTCAGACTTGAGTGAGCCTCAGGGAGGGCCCGTTGGCGCAGACTGCTGAGTGTCCATCTCAGATTCGGCAGGTCTAGGGTGGTGACCCACACGGGCATTTGTAACCAATGCCCACGGATGCTGCTGCTCTGGGTGCCACTTTGAGACTCACTCCTTGTGGGTCTCTACATCCCACTCATGATGGGAATCATTTAGTTATGATGCTCGAAAGCACATCTCTGTGCTGACAACTCCTAAACTCCTGCCTCTGGACATCCACCTGCTTCTTCCACGTCTCCCCTTGGGTCTCTAATTAGCATCTCAAGCTCAACGTGTTCAAAAATCAAACTCCTAGTATAGTTTTTGTGCATCTCAGGGCACTGAGGTTGTGCTGGAATGAAGTTCAGATACAGGAAAATCAAAGGTGCTTTTCCTGTACACCCACGCTTGTGGACCTGACTGTTAATATGAACGAAATACGAGTACACAGTAACCATCCCTGCTGCACATCTGCAAGGTGCTTTCAGGTCATTTTCTTTCTTTCTTTTTTGAGCTCAGGTGTTTTACTGATTAATAGTAAATTGTACATTTCAAAACTGCTGAGAGAAAGTTTCAAATGTTCTCACCACAAAAAGTTAAGTATTTGAGATGACGAATATGCTTAGCTTGACTTAATCATTGTATAAGAATACACCGTATTCATATATCACTTTGTACTGCATAAATATATACAATTACAATCTGTCAATTTACAATATAATAAAAAAATAAAAAAGAAAACAGCAAAGAAGCCCAAGCGTGGTGGCTCACACCTATAATCCCAGCCCTTTGGGAGGTTGAGGCAGGCGGATCACCTGAGGTCAGGAGATTGAGACCAGCCTGACCAATATGGTGAAACCCTGTC